TCCCTCCAGGGGCCGCCTATATCGGATGCGCAGCCCGATTTTGAAACGCGGAGGGGAAACCGGGTTGACGTGTTGCCCCTTTCGGGCTTGCTTTACGCTCCCCACCCGATTTCTGGTTTCCCCCCCCCCCCCTGCACTTTTTTGCATCAGCCGCGCAGCGATGCCGACCGGCGAGCCGGTTGTACCCGTGAAGGGCTGTAGTGACTCCGCGGTGTCCCCAGCCGGGATCGTGCGGGTCCTGCCGGTACAGCCGACCTGGAGGAACCTCCTGGAAGCCCCCAGCACGAGTCCCTGGCAGCCGCTGGGGTTTTTATTCCGTAACTGCCCGCACCTGTAATCCTGTCTCCTCCTAAGTTCACCGCCTTTGATGGGAGACAGTTTGAGATGTTTCAGGGTTCGGGTTCTGAAAGCAGAGGGGAGGAGTAAGCCAAGGCACAGCTATCCTAATCGATCAAACTTAAAAGCGTAGATCAATGTTGAAGATAATGTGCGGTTTGGAAAAAAAGAAAAAGCAGATGCTACGGAGAGTTACTATGCTGCTCTGAGAGGGGGGTTTGCATTAAAGTGGTGGCTAAATCGGTAATCTGCCTTCTGTTACGCACTCAGCAGAAAGAGCCCTTAAAAAAAAAAAAGCTTTTTTAAAGATCAGAAAAAAAGGCTAAATAAGCAGAGCTGTTTCTTAGATTCTGTATGTAACTGCAGCCTGACTTTGAGACGGGGTGCTGCAGAAAGGAGGATGAATTTGTCTAGTCCTTAAAAGGCACTGTGAGTAGTAGATGGATCAGTTTGCGTAGTACGTTTGACATCACTTGTTGCAGACTGTTTCATTGTCTGTCTTTTGTGTTATGTTTTCTTTTCTCTCTTTTTTTTTTTTCTTTGAGCCCTGGTGAAAACAAGCAATGGGCAGTGTAAGTGGGCAGGAGGAATGCTTGAAATTCCGTCCTTTAGAAGTCTGCGATGGGGACTGGGTGTACTGTTGAGCTTTGGTCTTTCAGCTGTTGACAACGACAAGCAGCAGGCAAAAAATCAGATGATAGTAGGGTATATACGCAGTTGAGGAAAACCAGAAGAAAGAATATAGTATTGTTAGTCTGGTCGGTGATGTTTGGAGGAATAGCTTATGGAAAGGACGGGCATAGAGTTACCTAACGTCTGTTAAGACCTGCTGCTCAACTTCTTCAACTAAAGCTTCTTGAGACTAGTGCGGTACTAGGCTTGATGGGACGAGATCAGTTCTATTAGGACAGCTATAAGTTGTATGAACAGAGAATTAAGGGGGGGTGGGGGAATCTGGTTTACCGTAGTTTTCTTTGTCCTTGACAATTCTGTGTTACATCTTAGGTAAAAAATTTGCCTGTTAAAACTGCAAAGTTACTACTCTTAAATACGGGAGCGTTAAATTTCTAGGCAAATACTTAGTAAAAGTTGAAGCAGTAGAAGCGGGTCATTGGGGTCTTACTTCCATCTTGTAAAGCCGTTAGAAAAACAAAGTTAAACTGTGAAATTTAGGTTGGGTCCTCTGCTTACCCAAGCGTGCCTCCTAACGTCTAGGAGGGTAACGACTTATTTTGGCTTCAGAGAAGCTTTTGAGTAAGTCTTGCTTCGTGTTATGATGGCAAGAATATTACTTGAACCCGGGGCTAAGAAAGGACTTAATCTCTTCTTAGGACAAGCTTTTGGGCGGTAGAAAACGAAGAGCACTTCTGGGAGAAATGCAACATTTGGCTGAGCTAGTGTTTGCTAAGGTGGGGAATAATTTCAAAATCTGAAGGACTGGAAGGAAATGTTTTCCAAATTTCCTTTTATAATTAGGGAGCTGCGTTGCTTTACCATTAGCATTAATCTTGACCCTGGAATGAGGGAGGCTAACTCTGGTAAGTTGTAAAATGTTTACAGTTTTATGGGTTAGCTTAGGTGACCTGTTCTGTGAAGTTGCGTGCTCTCCATGTGTTTTGTATGGTGTTTGAGATGAAGCTAATTGGAAAACAGCAAACTTTCTTTCCTGCATCTCAGTTACGCGTTGAAATAACCAGGTTTTGGTGACGTATTTCAAAAGGTGAGCTGTTCCCTACAGTTGATGATTCAAGAATTTTGGGGAACTTTCAGGTTATGAGCGTGTGTAACGATGGGCAGGCATGTCCTCCATGGGGATTTGTGAAACCGCGTTGGAATGTCGTACTGGCTTCATGGTTCTTTTATTTACATTAAACTTTATTCTGATCCTGGTGCTGTTGTCAGATAGAGTAGAGGTTGGGAGTGGCATTCTGATATAATAGTTCTTGGAATAGAAAATTCAGGAGTCTGCTTGTTTGAACACACTCCCTCTATCTTTCAACACCACCATCAACCCTTTCTTTCGTATGTGAAACCAGTGTTCTTTGCTGATGGGAGAGATCCCAGTGGAAGCCTCGTGAATTCCCGGGCAGACATACTTTCCGAGATGCAGAGTATTTGCCAGGAACTTTGGGACTTGTTTTTTGGTGAGGAAGGCCAATTACGGGTGGATATAGCATACGAGTTGTGGCATGTCGGCTAGACAAAATCACGCAAGAATGTCTCCTTTGGGTTTTGCTCACGCTTAAATCGGTCTAAGAAAGTTAAATTCCATTATGTAACTCTGCTTGTTTCGGTGAGGTTCTGAGTAGAAATCAGATGGGTTTCATCCTGAAATCTGATAGTTTGGCAACTTGACTTTGATTCCTGTTGTTTGATAAGTGACCAGAGTGGACCCAGCTACTTGAGATTTGATTCTGGAAAAAAAAAAAGAAATAAATCTGTCCTGTGCATGATGAAGCATAAGATTTTAAAAAGTTACTGCCTGCACTGAAAAGAATCTTCATACTTGGATTTTGGTCATAATTTAATACATCCCAAATATAATTGGAAATAACAGATTTGCATGGAAATAAATCAAGCAAGACTAAGATTTTCTGAACCTCTTCAGAGTAACAGCCACTCTAAAACCCAGCGTAGTTGTCCAAAATGCTTTGTGCTCAGTTGGGTTCTTTTTTGTTAGTAGAAGAGAGATGTAACTTCAGACCACAAATGCCTGTATGAAAGAAGAGGTTTCTTAGATAATCTTGTAAAGTGGCTTGTTACTGGGATTCTCTTTATTATATCAAAGTGATAGATTTAGGAAAAGCAGGGAGGCATCGTTTGGATCGGCTGCGTCAGTCGCAGGTCACTATCTCAGCCTGATTTGGTTTTTGCTGTTAACGTAACTCATGCTGCTGGTGTTACAGATATACCTGCAGAAACTGGAGTTCTGTTTCTGAATTTTACACATTTGGACTGGTGATCTGAAAAATGCTCTCCTGGTCAGTTTTATAGCTATGAGGGGGAAATCCAGTTAAGTTAGTCGTAACTTACCTGTTTTCTTTCCCAGCTAAATAAATCAGCTTTTTTATGTAGGTGGAGAGCAGTCCATATGCTGCAGGCAGAAGTAGTCGTGGTCTGTGACTGCAGCATGCGGGTAGCAAAAAAACCTATGATGGCGCAAAATTATCTGCCAAGGTTAGATTTATGTGGAAAGGCTTCCAGGTGGTTGTATTACGCCAAAAAAAAAAAAAAAAAAAAAACAAACCACCAAAACCAAATCAGTTCTCCCCCCTCCCCTCCCCCTTGCCTGAAAGCGAGAAATGCAGAAAAGTGCAGCCTGTAATACATAACTGTAAATAGAAGAATAATTGTTAGGACAAAACATTGTTAGCAGTTTTGAAAACATGAGTTAGTTGGATATTAGGAGGTTCGTGCTGTAAAATGGAGTTGAGGCTTTGCTTTTTGCTTCTGAAAGATGGCATCTGTTCGCACAGTAGTATACCACCCTGAGGAGGTATCCCTTTGATATTGGACAGAGGGAAGTGGTAATTTTAGCAGGCAATAAATTGCCCGTGTAAATGTCAAGGGAGAAGGAATGGAGAAATTACTGCCGTCGTGTGCTGTAATTTGGTTTACAGAATCGGTTGTGTCGGCAACATTGGAAATCCTGAGATTTTAACAGGAAAATTATTTTTGGTTCAGGAGCCAGCTGATACCTAAGGTTAAAAATTTGCCAAGTCCCTAATAAGCGCCAAGATTATTATATTTATTATTATATATGCAGTTGGGACTGCATTCGCTCTGCCGGGGTGCAGCAGTGCTGTGAAAAGGAAAGGTTGCAGCTACCAGGGGACTGAAATGAGGCTGGAAATGCCAGCTTTAATTGCATTTCGGTGTGACTGACTGCGCTCTTCAGCAGCGAAAGTTGCTTCGGCGCATTTGATAGCAGTAGCTGGGAGCACTAGAGGCAGCATGTTCAGCTGTAATATCAAGCCACAGTAGGGTTATTTGAGGACACCGTTCCAGGATTAACTCTTAAATTGCCTACTCTGGTCTCTCTTAATGGCAACGCTTGCAGGTTTTGCTTGTGTATTTGAGCGTTTTGGTATTTGATTACTCAACTTAAGAGTTAACGTCGACGGGAGAAACCAAATGAAACGTAGATCCTGTAATTTATAAGCTATATAAAGTCGAAGCTCTTCATTTAGATATACTACACTGCCTTAAGTGTAGGTTCGGAATAAACCAGCCACCTCTGCGGTACCCACTGCTGCGGAAACTTAGCATAACCACGCGTCTGGGATTGCAAGAGCAGGCTAAAACGTGATGAACTACTGATGATTAACTTCCTGTCGCTCTCCTGAAGGTGACATTCAAGGGCATATTTTAAAAACCCAACGACTTAATTGTGGATTCAATCCAAAATCGAAACAGCTTCTCTGTGGGATGTTCATAACACACTCGAGCTCTGCAAATCCTGCATGAGTCAAAATTGCTTGGTGTCGACCCAAATTATCCGAAATCGCAAGCTGCAGACGTGAAGCACGGTATGTAAATACACGAAGCTGCCCTTGTCGGTCAGGAATCTGTCTCCTTAAGGACTTGAGAGGCTTTCTTTTGTTTTCCAAGGCCTGTATTTGAAGTGAATGGCAAATTTGTTGTGAATTGGGTACTGTGAGAAACTAAAATGTGCTTCCTGAGTTTAGGGGGTGGTTGTTACTTAAAATTTTTCTCTTCCAATCTTGGTCTGGACATCTGCTTTCCTATACAGTTCTTGCATGCTGATGGGATGCAGCTATCCTGCAAATGACGGGATGTGGGATGGGGGAAAAAGGGAATAATGCGGAGAAAATCAATGTTATATGTTGCCTAGCAGACCTCTTAACAGGATTTAAGATTTTAAATTTACCAAAACCACACAAATGTGGGCTGTTAAGATTATATTTTTTTCTTGAAAAATAAGAAGTACAGTGGAATTGTTTTTTGGGGGAAAAGATGC